CCTTAGGCGACGTAGTGGTCCTAAACGTGACCACATACGATGTCCTCGTCGGATTACCAGCCCTCATAGTCTTACGGGCCACGCAGGATTTCAAACGACAAGCATTTATCCTCAACAACACCGGAGGAAAGCCATACACCGTCCCAATGCGCCTCACCCTCCGGACAACTTCGACGTCTGAGCAACAAAGACCGAGACCCTGCGAAATCCTACGAATCATAAGGTGGGAAGAATCCACGGACGAATCCGACGTCGAACCCACCTTCGAGAGTGAGGACGATGCAGATCCTCAAATTCTCGAGCTAACACGACAAAAAATCTGCTACCCACTTCGACAGAAAACCCCGGAAACTTTCGTTTTCATAAGGGATGCGCAACGAACAACAGAAAAAATTCTCAGAATTAAATAATCATTCTAGAGTAAAATTACATTCTTAATTTCAAATTTTCATTCCATCTTTAAAAATGTCATTCCAATTTAAAAATTTTCCGTCTTCCTTGAAAACTTTCATTCCAAGAATGGGGTATCCCTTCTTATTTGAACTACATGCTAGAGACGGAATGAAAGTCTGGATGAGTTCATGAAATATTTTAATTGGACTGTCATTCTAAGTAATGACTTTCAATCATAAATAGGTTAATCCAATCTAAATTAGACGATATTTGTTGTAGTAGAATGACAATTTAATTAAAACATTTCATAAACTTGTGCAGACTTTCATTCCATCTTGAACAAATAAATGTAGTTGGAAGGGAAAGCTCATATTTAGATGAGAACTTATCAAATTAAATTGAAAATTTTTGAATTGGACAAACATTGGAATGATAATTTATAAATATGAAGGATTGTTTTTTTATGGAATGTTTTTTTAACTTTCATTTCTCATGGGAATTTTTCTGTTGAACCAGAGCGCTGATCATGGGAGAACCACTCATGCGGATATCCCAGTTGATGGATTCTTGGGAACCCCCTCGAACCATGTACAAGGCGACCACCTCATTGTTACCCAGATATCAGGATAAGCGGTCCTTCTGCAATCTCTCAAGAATCCCTCCCGGATCATTGTTCACCAAAGGAAAAGAAATTCGACTGCTATAGAGGGGCGCCGAAAACAAGACTTCGGAACCCCCTGGGTTGTACGACCTTGCCCCATTCGATATTGAGCTAAAAATCGAGAAGAAGGTCGTGGACCTCCGAGATATCGAAGACGACATCACCCCAGAGGAACATGTGGCAATCAGGGAAGAGGAAACTCAGATGGTTGCCACGATCTTCTCGTGGCGTTCCGACCATTCCTTCATGTCATCTCCACCCACGAAAAAGACCCAGGTGGCCAAGACAAAACAGCTACCGGTGGCGATACGAGACTGCCACTACGAACTGCAAGTGCTGGACTATGTGCCGGAGGAGATACACAGACTCATCGCAGACATCCTAACCGAATATCAGAGGGCGATTAGTACAGAGGACACAGACATAGGACTATCCCTGATCATACAGCATGAGATCCAGACTGACACCCACCCCTCGATTCATTGTAAGCCATACCGGTACTCGTTGGTCGAAAGACAAACCGCCCTAGAACGAATCAGAGAATTTGAGGCCAACGGTTGGATCGAACCCGCTACCGGATCGTGGTCCTTTCCCGTGGTTTTAGTCCCTAAAAAGACCGGATCGATTATCGAAAACTGAATGACATTACGATCAAAGATGTATATCCCCTCCCACGGATTGATGATTTGTTAGATGCGATTAGGTGTGCTAATTACTTTAGTAAATTCGATATCCGTCATGGGTTCCACCACATATTGGTGAAGGAAGAGGATCGTCCAAAAACGGCGTTCGTATTATTCAAAGACGCGTGGCAATGGGTTCGATGTCCTATGGGCATTTGCGACACTCCGGTTACGTTTCACGGGGCGATGAACATGACCTTTCAGAATTTCGTTAACAAAACTCGGCTAACGCAGGGAATGGTGAACTTCTGCGTTATCGTGTACATGGACGACATCCTGGTGTATTCGGAATTGTTTCACGGACATGCACAGCACATCGAATGTACACTTGGAGCGCTGCGAGACGCGGTCTTCAAGATTGCCCTGGACAAGAGCGAGTTTTCCTGTCGGAAATCTCGTTCCTGGGGTACGTGGTGACGCGAGGGGGCTTGCGGCCGGATTCGAGAAACATCGCGGCAGTTTGAGACGCCCCGACACCCACATCGCTGACGCAAGTTTGAGCCTTCTTGGGGCTGGTCTAGTACTACCGACGATTTATCAGAGGTTTCGCGACAATCGCACGGCCTCCGACGAACCTCTTACGAAAGGACCACCCGTTGAGATGGGACGCTGAGTGCGAGCAGACCTTTGCGACATTGAAGGAAGCCTTGGACACGGCCCATATTTTGATTCGGCCCGACCCCGGAAAGCAATTTGTACTTATCACAGACTGGCAACCGGAGGCGATCTCCGCTATTTTGGTGCAAAAGGGGAAGGACGGCCTCGAGCACGTCATCGAGTACGCATCTAGGATGGTACCAGACGAAAGGAGAAACGACTCGGTGCCTCATGGGGAATGCTACGAGGTGGTGTGGGGGATTCAGCACTTCCATCCGTACCTATACAGACAGAAATTCCTCCTCGTCACGGATTACGAGCCCCTGTTGGCCCTCAAGAGGCTCACTAATTACACGAGCATGATTGGACGTTGGGCAGTGTGGCTACAGGAGTACGATTTCGACATCGTCCATTGGAAGACGGAAAGACACGGGAACGCGGGCGGGCTGACACAACTGCACCGACCAACCAAGGTTACCAAGGGAGAAGAAATCATTTCGTGGAGAGAACCGGAACCAGTCAGTGGGTCGCAGTACGGACAAGTGACCATCCTTCCACGCGCTAAGAAGTGACACGTGACAATGGGCGATGGAGGTAATTCTAGTAGCCCCCTCTCTCCCCTCTCGTCCTCGTCTCTACTCTCTTTGCCTGACAAATTTTGTTACTTCTGCGAGGCAATCTCGCGTGTCTATTCGGTCCCTATGCGTCCTAGCGGGGAAGGGTATGCCGACTGGGTAGATCGTCGGCACTGTGTTTCCAGGGCCCATGGTGCCTGCATTCAGTATCAGAATGCGGACAAGGCCTGGTTGTGTCCCTTGTATCGATCCGACAAAATTCCTACTGAGGCCCGCTTCTTGCAAGCCACGTCGGAGGGTTTAGAGAAGACCCGTAGGTTTAGGAGGGCCGAAGTATAGACAAATGTCGTTTTAATAGCCACCATAGTCGGGAACCCCCTCCGGGACTTCACCAAAGAGGACCGTAGAAAGGCTAATGAGAGGGCACGGGACTGGAACAATGGACGGTTGGAAAAACGGAAGACTGACGGTGGTGGGATTTGGATGGTCGTGCCCCACCCATTCGTGAGGTATGATTGTGTCAAGTCCACACACGAAGAGACTGCAGCTCACTTTGCCGTACGGATTACGGAGGCGGCAATTGACAAAAACGAATGGTATTGGTCCAATATTCGCGACGATGTTAAATTCATCGTCCAAAATTGTCAGGTTTGCGCCGCTGACAAGGCGCTGATTCAGCCGCCTAGATCGATAGTGCCCACTTAAGTCCAACGGTCATTTCAGAGGGTTAGCATGGATACGACGGATATTGTCGTGCCCCCTGGACCGAATAGTTGTACGAATATTCAATCCTCTTGGTGTTCGTTGACCACTTTTCAAAATGGATCGAGGCCTACCCACGTCGGACTAGACAGACGGCGGAAATAGTGTGGTATGTCAACCGTTTCCTCGGGATGCATCAGGACACCGAGGAAATACTTACGGACAATGGAGCAGAATTTAGAGGGGAGGTTTTTAGGAATCTGGTCCTACACGGTGTCTCCATTCGTAACACTGCTCCTCATATGTCGCAATCCAACATACTTGTAAAAAACGCCAATCGGGTGATTAAGACCGCTTTGTGAAGCAACATTGCGGCAAATGACATGAGGCGTGGACCATATTCTGGCTATCCACCGGGGGACACCCCACGAGCCCACGGGTTTGACCCCCTTTCAACTACGGACCAACAGCCTGCCCTGTGTAGCCCTACCGAGCCTGAATGACGAGACGACCCTTCCACGACAGACAACTAGGGCGACGGTTAAGGATAAGGCCCAATGCCATTTAGAGCTGATGGAGAAGGCTCTCCCCCGACTGGTCCGAAAAAGACAACAAATGACCGAAATGGCCCATCGGAGACAGGTCCAGAGCTACGAGGCCCGAAATTGGAATGCTGGGCCTCGGCCCCAATATAAATTAGGGGACATCGTGAAGGTGAGGAAATGTGCTTACCAAGGCAAGTTAGCGTCATGATTCTTCGGGCGATTTCGCATAGTCGAGCCCGGTCCCAGTGGGGTGAACACGGTGCGGCTTGCGCCGGAGGTGTCAGGAAGTCGATCGGCTCGTCCCATCATTCGACACGTGTCCTATCTTCGTCCCCTCCCCTCTTCCCCCTCTCCTCCTTCGTTCGCATTGTCCCTCGACCAAGACGAGGGCGGCGACTCTCTAGAATCCTCCTTTCTCTCCCAACCATCGTCTTCGACCCCGCCTTCATCGCCATGAGCTTTTCGACGGAGCAGGTGATCAGCGAGCGACTAATAGTACCTGGAGGAGCCTTCTCATTGATCCGACAAGTACGGCATCCTCGATTAAGTCCAGATCTCCTTCGATTCACAACCTTCTTCAGCACGGCGGTTATCCACGCGGCGACAGAGTTCCAGTTTGGGCAATCCGGAGTAGCGCGAGTCTTGGTTGAGGCGTCAGCCTTCTTGCGCCTTTCTCCACCAGGAGAAGGCCACGTGTCAGTCGTCATTGTCTTTTCAGGCGACCTCACGACGCTGCACCCAGCACGGCACACTCCCATCCTCCGACAACTGCGAGACTGGGCAGCAAGCCTATTGGCTGAGTGGGTGCGGCTATTGGCGAGGCCTCGCGATCGCGTCGTGACGACGAACGACATCGATCTTCAGCTCCGCCTCTCCTCCACTGCACCTGAAGTCACTCTCCCTGAGCTTCGTCCCTTTTCTCGGCCTCAATGAACCGCCATCGTCTCTCTACCTTCCGCCTCCCCTCCGACGCCCCCACATTTTGGCAATCAGTCGAGGAATCCTCCCTGTCCTTCACAATCAAACCCTTAGACATGTCGATTCTCGACGCACCTAAGTGGACGCAGTGGCGGCAAGCTTATGAGGTGCTCAGTTTCTACCTCCTAGAGATCGCCTTCCATTGGGCGGAGCCTGCCGACAGGAGCGAGGGGGACGAGATCCCGACCGACGAGGTGGAGCTACTGCTCGTCCAGGGGTGGAGGACGGACACGGAGGGAGACTTCTTTGGGATCATATTCGGAGAAGTGCGTGACGGCCATCTGAGCTCCATTACGAACGAGTTGCTGGTGTTCCTGACCCAAGTACGAGACGACCTGCCATTGGAGATCCTCTCGCATTGCCACCAGAGACCAGGAACAGCCGCGCTCGCTCGCACCCTCGAGCCGCACCTTCTTTGGTTCGCGTGTAAGGAATTAGAGGGGAACGGCTACTACCTACCCTCAAGGGATGTGTATCTGATCGTCGACGTTACTAACCTCTCCACGTGGGACCCGCTCATCCGGCGTGTCCCTATAGGAGAGACCAGCGAGGAGGCTGGGGAGGAAGAAGAAGAAAGTGAGGAGGGCGATCACCTCCAGTATACGGAAGGTGAGACGACGCCAGAGGAGGAGGAATCGGGAGCAGAGTCGGACGATCCTGACTATCGGGAATCAGAGCACGCCGAGTCGGAAGGAGCCAGTTCGGGTCGAGTGGAATCAGGGGAAGAAGAAGGTGAATCGGGGGGATCAAGTGGCCCCGACGAATTAAGCAGAGAGGAAAGGGGGGTCGCGGCGCAGAGGGTACGAGCAGCAGCGGAAGGGAAGTGGTCAATCGAAGGATCAGACGGGCCACCACCACTGCAGGACGATCTGGCGCACAATCCAAAACCGTCGCGGGAGGAAGACGAGTAAGATGACGCCGCCGCGTACGGATCAACAAGTCGGCGCCGCCGAAGAAGTCGATCGCCCTCCCAATCCTCCCCAGCTCGACCCACATCCCTTCGCCTACGTCGGGCGCAAGGGCTTCGTCCCCGGTCATTATCCCGCCGTCCCCGTGACTTCCTCACCGTGCAACAGCTCGTAGGTCGACCCCCGTTCCCGGATACATGGCATCCATTTCCCCTCTCCCTCTTCTACCATCGCCACGTCACCCCCCTTCTGATCAACATCTTCCCGCATGCCACTACTCGCTCCCTCGTCACCTTTTTCCCCCTCCACGTCCTCCTCTTTAGCATCGATTGGCGAGAATAAAATAATATAGAGGTCTACTGCATCGTTGCGGGCACGATCCCCGCATGCGAGGAGTATGACGAATTTCGCATGGCTATTCGCTGCACCCTTTGGACTCTCTACCTTGACTATCTCACCTCTCTCCCCCAAATCAATGTCGACACCCTCGCTTCCACCCCATCCATCGCTCCATCCACTTCGTTCCACTCCCCTCCAGTGACGAGGAAATTCACCGCTTCATGCCTCCACTTCCCCTGGCCTATCCACCACCTCCCCCAACCGTTATCAGATTGCCTTTCCCTGACAACGTTTTGAACTGAACGCACGCATGCCACGTTGGATGACTTCCACACTCGGATCCTACAGTAAGTGGCACGTGTTAGCTCTGCGTCGATCATCGGACAACCAATCAGCTCCTAATGAGAGAGCAAGCAGGAGCTTGCTCAAGATTGAAACCCCCTGGGCGTCACATATGTGAATAACCACTTTCTGGAACCTCGCGATTTTTTGCGCGAAGCTGCTTGGTGAAATATGACAGGTCGAAGGGGTGAGCTGTGGAAAGACGGGTCGGGCAAGCAAATTGCATGGATGTCCTCGTTTCTTTTTCGTTCTCTGTTGAGGATGTCGGATCGGTGTCGGGAAGATCCCGTGCCAATGGTTGGGGAGCCGCGCCTTAGCGAGCACAAATAACTGTACCATAGCTTTTTCTTTCTTGTTCTGTTGTGAGCATTGGGAAGTTTTGGCGCGATCATCGCGCGGGAATATCGTTTTTCAATTTTCAACTGGTGTCGAGCCCCCACGAACTCTCGGAATTGTTTTTCTTCGGAATTTTACTTTGCAATTAGGACTTAAGCTATGAATTTAGGCACCTTCTGGATTTTGCTGCGGGGCGCTCCCTGCTTACGCATGCCTTGCTGCGACAAGATCTGGGTTCTGACTTCTTTTTGCGCCTCAATATTACACGTAACTGTAAAAGTTTTGGTGGGTGTGATTGCAACTGTAATCTTCTTGTTCTTGATGTCCATCGTGTTCTTCCCTCTTCCGTCCTTGTGCTCGCCCGCGTATGCACACCTTCTTCCCCGACCTGATTGGTTCCTATGACTACATGACCAGATCGATGCGCGGAGAGTGGCTCAGTCCCCCGCACCGCGGCCCAGACATGCAGACGTAGGCACTTTCTCTCTTCTCCTTCTCATTACTTGAGGCTAATCCCGTATCCCTCGCGTAAGCGTGCACACTATAAATTCCACAAGCTCGATTATTTCTCTCTAAGAACTTCGAGTTTAGCGCGATCAGTGAGGGTCGGCTAACGAGCAAGTTTGGGAGGTAAGTGAGTGTGAGAGTTGGGCGATCCGGCGAGCTGGTGTCGAGTATGTGGGGTTGACGTGCGGGGCTGCGATGGACTGTGGCGCACAGGCGAACCTGGCTTGCATGCTTGAACCAAGCGGGGTGACAACTCTGCGTTGATACACGGCGACGGACTGCCGGTATCGGGAACACAGAGAGAGAGAGAGAGAGAGAGAGAGAGAGAGAGAGAGAGAGAGAGAGAGAGAGAGAGAGAGAGAGAGAGAGAGAGCGGTTGTGTGTGTGCGGGATATGTTTTTTTTTCGTTGTCCCCTTCTTCCTCTGTTCATCTGAACAATTTTGGATCCTGGTCTGACCGATTTTGTTGTCACGACCCTTCTCTTTTGGATTGCTCTTGTACGTCGTCTCAGATTTTCCTTGTGATTTTATTCGGTATGCATGCACGAAATGAATGTAAATTCCCTTTTTATTAGCGATCTTTTCGGATTTCCAAATCTGTTGTGCAATGCATGTTTCGTCTCTGACCAATGTTCACTTGCGTGAGGTATACGCTCAGAACTGATCGGAAATGCTCGTTTTGGATGTCTGGGGTCTAGTCGTTAACGTTCAGGAGTGTTATGATGAGTTAATTGTCCTTCTGCGTCACACGTATGACATGTAGTGATTGGTAGGATATTTGCACTTATGATAAACGCGACCGGCACACGGAACCAATCGGTTGTTCCTTGCGAGCGAGCGTGCGCACGATCGCGATCTCGAGAAAGCCAAAGTCGCCACGTACGAGCTCGTCCGCGCGAGTCAGCCTTAACCCCGTGTAAGGATGCGGGGGACTCGACTTACTAAGCGGACATGGTTGCAAGATCTCCCTCCTGGGCGTCCGACTACGAGAACCTGAGGGACCCGGAATATCGCGAGTATTGGGAAGGCGAACGACTTAGACTACGGGGAAACTTGAGGAACCCCGAATTCCCCTGTCTGACGGAGCACGACCGACTATGCGAGGGGGATTTCCACTGGGCTATAACCAGCGATCCTAGAGGCCGAGACTACCCGGATACGGACAATACCCAATACTACATATCCCCGGGTTTCGTCATTATCACCACCAACTTCCCTTCCTTCCGTCTCCTCCTCCCCTATCACCAACTCACAGCGGTCCGTGGAATTCCATAGCTCGCTATTGGCCCTGCCCGTCGTACGAGGATTGCCAGCATTACCGGGCGTGCCGAGCTTCGGGAACTACCCGACAGACTCGAACCGAAGCTGAGCAGCGATTGCACAGCCTCCGTTTACGGCCCGCCTCGACAGAATCCAAAGCCTATTACGAGCGGCGCCGACAATTGACCGAGCCGCGCGACCGACCCCGAAGGTGAAACCAAAGGCGATGGTGATTTTCATTTTTGGTTTTTTAAGCTGACGAAATTGGGGTTCCTTGGTAGGGGCAATGTTGTTGGGATTTTGTTCGAGAGTGTAAGAGTGTTTAAATATGTCGGCGCAGGGGTTGTAGAAGAGTACCCCGGGAACTTTGGTTTGGGATGCACTGCACATGCCATCTGCCCTATGTTGCACGACATCTGCAGCTTTCCCACTGTGCACAAACCACGAGAGGTGGTCTACCTTCCTTCTCATAAGGATTAAAGCGCCAAGGCACGACCTACATATCCCCTCTTACGCTTTTCCCCCGAAACTTGCCATAGGAGATCTTAGTTCCGACCTGGGACTCCACCCCCACTTTCCTAAAATCCTTGGCACACCCCTCTTTTTTTCGCTTTCGGGCCCCCATCCCACTCCGATCAGGAAGTCGCGTTGGGTGTGAGGTTGCGCGTCACAGTACTATCTTCCGGTCGGAGTGATTAAAAATGCGAAATAAGCCTTGGAAAAACAGCAAAATGGGGTGTGCCAGGGATTTTTGGAAAATTGAGTGTGGGGACAGAGACGGAACTGAAATTCCCCGCATGGTTCCAGTTTTAGTGAGAAATAGTCATAGCAGTGCAGGAAAAAAATAGTGTGCGCTGCTTTCAAACGTTCGTTTAATCCAAAAAGTATCTATGACCTTCCATGCGGGCTACTCGACATCTTTTCGAACGGAAAGGTGGGGGCACGCACGTGGGATCTCGTTTTCGAATTAAGTCTCGACGTCGTTAGTTACAGAACTCTGAATCCGACGTGGACGGCCTCCGCCGGGTCGATCTTTATTTGTGTTCATCCTCACCACGTACCCGGTAGTGGAACCCCTTTTCCTGATAACGTTCTGTGTGGCGGCCATTGCTACACAGAGTGTTGGGCCAATGAGCTCCCACCGCAATCCAGGAGTACTGGGGAAAGTGAGTATCAATAATAACAAAACCAGCGCCTACGAATCCTGAGCACCTTGTTTCGGCAGGAAACTTGTGGCGCTCACCCGATCTTGGCAACGGTTTTTCGTACGTCCCACTCATATACACGTGTCATTTCCTCGTTATACGAGAACACGCATGGTGGAGATACGGAAAATCGACGCCCAATCGGATCGGGGTAATCGGTCCACATGGCATGAGCAAAGCTGATTGTGTATGTCTTTTCGATCAAAGGAATAAACGAACACAACACTATGTTCTCATTATCTTCCATCCACCGTACAAGCCGATCCGAGGTCTGAATCTATGCAATCCGAGACAATCAAGAAGACGATCATCATTCATTCCCGCGAGTAAGAGATCATTCATGCATAAACCATCAGATAATAAGGAGCAAAGAGAAGGACGGGGCAAGACCACCCGAGCTTGCAGGTCTCTCAAATTCAACGATACTCGTCCTCACGAGATCCGATTGAATTCAACGAGACGAGCGGGACAGAGCCTCAAGAGTTGTAGGGGCGAGGGAGTCATGAGAACATTCAAACATTCATAAAGAAAATATCAAAAGAGAGAGAGAGAGAGAGGTAAGGTTGAAAGATGTGGACAGCGCCGTAGTTTAGTCGAAGAAGAGGACTCAAAAAGAGGAGTTATGAGCACATAAATAAATCTGAGGAAAAAACGACACTCCGTTGTGGACTTAGCTTCCAAAATAAGAGGAGGAAGCGAAGATCAAGGCGTGCAAGCCTTCTGCTCTCTGATTATGGCCCCAAGCCATGCAACCACTCGTACATACACACCTTCCTACTAGCGATTCCGATAGCCATATACCAACCTCCACACCACAGCGATCGTCACCCCGCTAACTCAACTTCTACATTGACTTGCCTAGATCCCGCAGTCCGTCGCCGCCACCCGGCGCACAACCTTGCCAAACTACAATCAGCTCGTCAGGATTTCTCGACTTGCTGTACATACATCATCTAACCACGACTTCCCTGAAGCTGGCAAATGGGTTGAGAGAGAGTTTTTCGGATGCGCTTGCGGATTTTATAGTTGCTAAGAGGGAGATAGAAGATGGGAAAGAATAGGGCGGGGGCATCAGGGAGTGAAGAGAGAATAAGGGTTAATCGCCTGGGGTAAGATATATCGGTCCCCGCTAGTTCCTTCGTAGCGAACCAGATGACAACGTAAGGGGAGTATCCTACATTCACGATATTGTCTGATGGCTGAAACACTATGGGGGAAATGGGTACTAATAAGTTCCTGTATAGGGATGAAGGCGGGAATGATAAGGGCGTAAAGAGTAGTGCGGAGCGGGACCAAGATTCAGATAAAAAGGAGAGGGAGATAAACGTGAAGGGAGAGAGGACGAAAACCAGTTACGGGTGAAGAAAA